GGAATCCCCTGCCCCGGGGTTCCTGGAATCAGCCGCTGATCAGTTTCAGCAGCAGCTGACTTGGGGATGCCTAGGGTTCTTAAGTTGAATCTGTATGTAAGTCAGAACTGGCTGAATCTGGACACCAGTTCCGACTTACATACAGATTCAACTTAAGAACAAACCTACAGTCCCTATCTTGTACGTAACCCGGGGACTGCCTGTACTGTGCTGACTTTATATTAAGAGCAAGATTCACTGTTTAAATTCTGATTTTTTTTTCTCTAGGTACTCTAAAATTCACTTGATTACTTGGATTATCTTCAAAATTATGCTTTGAGGGTTTTAGGTTAAGGTTAGTGGTCCAAATTTGAAATAAGTTATGCAAAAGATTAACGAGATAGGACACACAAACCTGACCCATCTTGAGAGCAGAGGAAGGCTGATGTGTACCATAACTCTTTATTTCCTGGTTTTCAGAGGTTTAAGTGTAGGTGCACTGAGCATTCAGTAAAGGCATGAGACACTACCAATCAGCCATAACTCTGTGTCAACTTTTTTTGGGGCCATGAATAGGATTCCACTCTAGTTGATGACCTCCAAATACAAAGGACTGGGATGAGGACAGGTAGAGGATATCCTCAAGATAGATCATGCTGCCTGATGAAGGAATGAATGATGGTGGAGATGAGCCAGTAGTCATTTACCCGGCCCTATTCAAGCCAAAAATTACTTGAATCCTTTCTTTTACATCCAGCTAAAACCCACTCTACATCCCATCGGGTCTTTCTGACTCTCCAGCCACAAACGAAGCTCAAAAAAGAGTGTAACACAGAATGGAAGATTTTATTTTTTTTTGGTGCCAAACTGGAATGGATGAGAACATGGAATTTTGGGGTGAGGGGATAGGGTGTAGGTCATGATTAGATTTTTTTCCCCCTTTGAGGGGAAATGGATTTATTTTAGGGAGGGATAGAAGAGCAACAAGTTTTTTGCTCATCAGTACAATTTGTTGGATTCTGGTATATATAGCCTACGTAGTCATACCATGCTATATTTTTGAGTGATGCAACATAACAAACAGCTGTGGCAATAACCTGCAGTAAAGAAATGGGAGCTGTGGCAATAACTTGCAGTAAAGAAATGGGAGCTGTGGCAGTAGAAGTTTAAAAATCTGTGATATAGATAATATATCACACTTCAAAACTAAGGATGTGAAGGACTAGTCGTCTATCCGAAAAGCAAATGCTTATAAGCTAGTTGAGTTGACCAGTCGTTCTCGCCCCCCTTGCTGCCTCTATCAGATAGAGGAAGCAAAGAGGTGGGGAAGAAGGGGGTACTTCAAAGCTGCAGCACCACATGGAGCCCACGGTACAGGCATCGTGCAGCACTTGCTTTGAAATGCTGTGGTGACGTTTTAAAGGGGCAGTGCCAGACAGCTGATCTCGGACTCTGTGCGTCGCTCCCCCCTTTGAAATGCCCCTGTGGCGTTTCAAAATGATAGCACCATGTGGACCTCAGGGTCAGCTGGAGATGCCCTAGCTGACCCTGGGCTCTGTGCGTCATTTCTGCGGAACCTGGAGTAAACTGGGGAGTCCCCAGCTGATCCCGGGTTCCGCGTGGCATCATTTCTGCGGAACCCGGAGTAAACTGGGGAGTCCCCAGCTGATCCCGGGTTCCGCGTGGCATTTCAAATTGGCAGTGCTGCATGCAGCCCAGGGTCAGCAGGGCACTCTGAGCCCCCGCTGACTCCAGGTTCCTTGCAGGCGCTTCTGCTTTGAAATGCACAAGAGCACCGCACTCTGAGCCCCTGCTGACTCCAGGTTCCTTGCAGGCGCTTCTGCTTTGAAATGCACAAGAGCACCCGCTGGGGACTCTTGTGCCAGCTTTGAAATATACACCTTTGTACATTTCAAAGGAGGAATACGGAAGTGCCTATCGAGTAGTCGATAGAAATTCCATTCACTACCAGTAAATCAATCTATATTTAATATCTTTATTTACAACTGGTACTCACTTAATCTGAAGTGGGTTGGCCAGTTAGTAAAGTTTTGCAGTAGTTTAGAAGTATTGAGGGGGAAAAATTGAAAAGGCTTGTAATTTGGTGGTTCTAAAGACAAAAATTCAGATGTATTTTTGAGCTACAGATGATAGAGATGAATTACACTATCCAGAGAGATGATGAGCTTCATGAGCAGTGGGAATTCACTTAGGGAATTCTAACAAAGGGCGCCTGCAAGAACTTTTTATGTATTGCATGGGTAGAGCTGATCGAAATTGAACAAAATATACTTTTTTTAAAGCACTAGGTGGCAGAGGAGCTCTAGATTTCTGGCACATGATAAATGGTAGTTGAAGATAGTTCTGACTTATTACAAACTGGAAAAAGAATTTTATGAAACTCAAAAGCTAGTCTTTCTCATCAACAGAAATTTGTCCAATACCTTTTCTCTCTTCTACTTTGTCCTAATATCCTGGGACCAACCCAGCTACCACTATGTAGTATAGTCAAAGACCACTTTAAAAAATACACTTTTTTTAAAGAAGTAAAAGTGATAGACAATTTGATAACTACAGGTTGAACCTCTCTAAACCAGGACTCCAATCTGGTGATGTTCCTGGACCAGAGAGCTCCTGTGGTTGAGAGGGGAGCTTGGGAATAAGGGGCCAACAATCAGGAAAGCCTGGCAGCAGGAGGCGAGGTTAGTAGCTTTGGGGACAGTGTTGACCTCTGGTTTGGCAAACACCCTGGTTCAGGACTGGAGGATCTTCAGGGATCTTGGACCAGATAGACCCAACCTGTACAGAGGAAAAACATAATTGTCATTGAACACAAGCCTTATCTACAGCAGTTGATTATAGCATGAATTAGACGTATGCCAGGAAACTTTAATGCTGACCTCTGCATTTGTATATACTTCTGTTTACTACAGGTTGGATTGTAAAAATGATCTTGTATTCAGTTTCCACTATTGACTGACAGAATGGAACCACTATTTTTTAAATCACAAGTATAGATGCCTGTATGAATTCTGTGCTGCTTGTATGCTACACATGCTTGTCACTATACTTATACAGCTGGAGAGATACATAATAGGTTACTATATGACAGCATTGTTGCAAGGAATGTCCTTGGACAAATACAGATTTAATTTACGAAGATCCAAACAGCCATAAAGAAGTGGAGGGAAAGATGAAACATCATGGAGTTCAGATGGATTGTTCCTCAGAACTGAATTCAGCAAGAGTAGCATTTCCTTATAGCCTTCCTTACCTCTAAGCTGTACTGCTGCAGGGCCAAGAGGGAGTGAAATCGGATCTCTGTATGAAAAGAGACAATGGGCAGAACATTATTACAAAGTTTGTATAGTTTTCAAAACACTGAAAAGTGCAAAGTCTTGCAAAATGTGTTGTATGGTGG